TGTCTGTGTGTGTGTGTATGTGGGTACCACACTTTAATAAGGCAAGGTGAGTTGCTACTAATGGCTCCATTAGTAGTTAAGGGATAAAGTTGGCATTATTCTATATCTTTTTACAACAATGTGTTAAAAGTCCATCCACTTCTAAGTACAGTACATGCAGACATACCCTGTCTGTGGCCCCAAGCCCTCTTTGTCCTAATGAAGATGCAAATCGTTAGAAACAGCTCGCAAATTAAAGGATAATTTTAAACAAAAAGGCTGAGTAGGCTGAACTCTCGTATTTCAGTAAATGTTACTGGAGAAAATAGAGAATTTGTGGGGACTATTTTCAGCTGCAGATTAATACTCATTTGGTGCACCAGTGTCTGTACAGTAGGACTGATCCAAAATAAACTAAATTCCCCGTCCTCATTAGCCTGATAATTAGGCTGAATTGCCATTTCCTTTCACTTCATTCATTAACTCTGACATCATCTAACTCATTCAACAGTTAACATCAAATAAATATGCTGATCTCAGTGTTTCTGATCAGACTACTTAGTTCAAAAATATATAATAATATCCTTTCCTGTAATTTTTTTATGTGTTTTTGATGTCAGCCTGCTCTGCAGTCTCGCTCATGCACGTAGCACACGCGTACATCCATGATTAATTATGAGCTAAACTGTGATGGCGAGTGGAGGTAAAATGAGGTTAAAAAACACTTGTGGCTCCAAAATACTGTATTTTAACGTCATTCATAATAATTCTGTGGAGGTAGACGTTGGAAAAAGTTTCCTAAACACTGACTTAATCAACTTACATTGCTGTTGCTAGCTAGCTATGTAGTAGCTAAGACGACAGTATATAATGCAGATAAGGTGCTGGTAGTATTGATTATATTGAAGCAAACAGAACAGAGTAAGAGAGAGGTAGCAGCTCTCAGCAATAAAATTGGTTGACAAAGTATGAATTATTTAATATGTTAAAGAATATTACATTTAATATTTTAATTTATTTATTTGGCCTTCTGAGCACCTTTGCATGCTCATATCAGTGCACAATCTACTTAGAAAAGAAAAAATCACTGTATTGGCCGCCATGTCAGTAATCTTTTGATTTCGCCCCTCTTAAATTGGTATCGGTCTCAAAAATCCCACATTGATTAGGCTTTAATTTATTGTTTCTCTAATCGTTTTTTTGGTCTTTTTGTGGGGTTATTGACAATAACAAAAACACACAATATCACCACGTGTATCTTTTAATATATCGTGAATCTTTTGATTGACTCCTCAAAGATTATTGTAGCGAAAGGACCCTTAATGACTTTCTCACAGACGAGCTGGAGGTCCGACAGACCCGGACAGAGGACACAGCAGGGAGTCGTCCTGCTCTTATCAGACACCAGGTCATGTTTGGACTGTAAACATCCTGCTGACTGAGTGAATAAACCACTCTAGCACTCCAGAATTAGAGATGATACAGAAAGCGTACCACTGTGACACTTTGAGTCTATAAAAGAACTTGTGAAGCTGCAAAGAAACCGAATGAAAACTGTAGAAAAGTCAAGACAGGAGAGCAGTTTCACTCCTCCTTCCTCTAATCCAAACACTTCCACTCGTTCACCAACAAATCTTCAGAAGAGAGCTGAATCTCCTGATGACAGCTGACAGCTTTCCAAAGTGTCTGGTAGTCAGGCTTTACAACAGCCACTACTTTACAAGCTTTTGGCTGGCGGCTGGCGGTTATTTCCCAAAAAACTTGAGGGGAAGCACCAGGAGTGATGAGTTAAATGTTAAATATTCATCTTGGCTGAAACTGAAGCCAACCTCTGATGACACAGAGTGAGTGGACAGAATGTTTACCAAATAAGCTGAGTAATCTCATCTGTCTTTATGCACACACATAAACATACAATCATCCACACCTGTATTTCTAACTGATTCAGATGCTTTAATTGCCTCCTCATGCAGCAAACACTTAAAAAACACTGACAGAAGAAGAAGGAGGAGAAGAATATCATGATGAAGCGGTGGCATCTGCGCAGTGTTTGGACAGAATATCTTATGGCACGGCTTGTTTAGCAGATGAAAGTGGCATGACAAGTTTAAACAGCCACAGATTCAGTTCAGTTTTGCATTATTTATACCAAATCAGAGTCAAATCACTAGTTCAAACGTGACATAGTTTAACCGAAAATCCAGTTCACTCCCATCCTTCTCTCCTATAAAAGAATCTAAATCACCTACCCCACTAATTTAAGTGTTTTATGATAAACACGCCACATACACACCCTGACTTTTCGGAGCTTTAGGTGTATTGGTTGTTTGTTACCATGGCAACAGAGAGAAATCTGTAAATTTACTGGCCACTCTCCGTTCTGACTCCCAGCTACAGTCTCAAGCTCTCACAGCTTCGAGGTTGTGAAGCCAAGGATGAGAGCGCGAGCACAATTTACGTTTTTTGAGAACAAACTGGACTCAATACACCTTGGACAAACTACATTTCCCATCTGGCTTAGGAATGTTTCGTTCCCCCAGGAGTAGCTGGAGGTAGTTTCAAGAAGACAGTGACATATGGGCTGCTCTTTTTTGCACTTGACCTTAAAGTTTTTGAGGTAAATTGTAAAGTGCTCTCATCATGATTGGGTGGCTTCAGCTATTCATAAATCCATTACTTTTGCTCTGCTGGTTTAGCAGCCAAACTTTGTTGAGATGTGAAATGCCCCCTAAATTATTCTTAAAACAACAATCAACTTTGTAAACAGGAAGTCATCATAAAATCATAAGCTGTGACATAACTTAAGGCAAATTACATATTAAACTTAACTGTCATTCCTCTAGAAATGTTGGTCTATATATATATATCTATATATAGATTCCAGGTATGTAAATATATAATCTAAAATCATGTTTTTGGTCAGATGCTTTACTTCTTTTCATATTACGTTAGCTTTGTCAGTTAAGCTATTTGCTTGGAAGTCTCTGGGTGTAAATATTTAGTAGCAACTAGTTAATACGTAAGAACTAGTTTGTATAGTGTGAGCTGTTTTAATTTATTAATATGTAAAGTCTCCTCTTAGTTAACACTTAAGTTATAGGTTACATCTCGGACAGAAACATCTGGGAAGTCGTCGTTGGAAAACTAAAATCCTTATCAGATGAACTGTTGCTTTAGCACACATGATGATTTTCTCTCTTACCTTCTCTGCCAGCAGCTCTCGGATTTTCCCCGCCTGGAGCCGGAACCTCAGTAGCTGCATTTCCAGAGCGATGCAGCGCTTCTGCCAATCCACGCTGGCCACTCTGACGGCTCCTGACCCACCGCCGCCGCTCTCCAGCACGTCTGCCATGGCGAGGATTCAGAGCTCTGCCTCTGAACTCAGACTGCACTGAAAAAACAGAAAGCACAAATCTGCTCAGCACATAGTTTGTCTGATTGAAATTGCGTGTATTGGACAAATAATTGTGAAAGTAGAACCTTTGTTCTTAGTGATTAGTCAAATTTAACTAGAATCTAAATCTTTTCCTGCTCACAGTAATAAGGCAGCAAATATGAGACCTAACAGGGTGCACACACAACCCTTTGATGGCATTTCCTCAAGCAGTCCAGCTTCTGTTTTCATTTACAGCACAAGAGGAGAAAAAAGTGACTTAACCTCTACATATGCTCTTTACTGACCACACTTCCCATGATTCACTGAGGAAACGCGGGTAGAGCAAACACTAATGATGAGTCCACAATGACATGAGTTCAATAAAAGCTTACTCTCACTTTTTGGCTCATGTTACCGCAGAGCAACATACATACATCCATACACATAACACACAGCTTGGAGAGACTGCCACAGCCGCAACCTTTCTTTCCTTCTCGTCCGTACTCTCTCCACATGCCCACACACACTGAACAAAACCTCAGCAGGGAGGCTGTGTGTCAGCGGGGGAGTTGGGTTCATGCATGCCGGCTCCCAGGCCTGCCAGCTACAAAGCAGGTCAGCGCTCTGCTTTTTAGCCAAATTACCTACTAACCCAATCCCCTGGTCTCCCCCCTACTCCCACCCGCAACTCCCTAGCCATGCAATCCCTTCTTAATTACAAGGCAAGACTGAAACGGGATCCTGTGCAGCACAATAGTGTCTTTCTGCATGACAGTCCCATCACAGCTAGAGAGGGGGGCCGTCAGCTCGCCTCAGCAAAAGAAAGGAGGAAAGAATGTGTGAGAATGAATGGGCCGAGCGCTGAATGTGGGAAACTGGGGCGCTGAGGTTATTTTTACCTGAGGAGGATTGACTAGTGATTATTTTTCTCTGAACGGACACTCATTCACAAAGGTTAAGTCCCCACTGTGCGAACTCAATAAAATTCTGATTATGCTGAGATAAAAGCTGCCATAACAATCAGCTTTGCGGTTATAACTCACAAGAGCTCAGTGAGGATGTTGAGATGTGTGTGATTTCGAGTGAAAGTGTGCATATCATTTAGTAAAGAAAGAAAATGAAGTTTACTGAAGTTAAAAGCTTAAGCAGTATTCAGACAGACTCAAAGTGCAGCCAGACACTGTCAGCAGAACTGCAGACGTTCAAAGTCCAGCGACTATAACTGCACCATGGCACTCCCTACAATTAGCATGCTCATAAATACAGGCCTAGCAAACAAATTACAGAAGTCATGCATGTGGAGGTTTCGCCAGCCGACCGCTGTACCCGAGGCTGGACAGTCAAGGTCCGGCTACCGACGTCTCCCTCTCTCTGCGGGGCAGACTGGAGAGTATGAAGGTCAAGTAAAGCAGGATGCCGGCGTGGGGAAGAGGGGAAATCAGACCGATGGAACAAGCCCTGCTGTGCCACATTGGGGCAAGCCAGGACAGACGAGGCCAGGCCCTCCTCCGGGAGAGCTAACAGCTGGGTGCAAACAAGCCATTTGATGGTTAAACACTCTCAGCACTACCATGCAAATTCTCCCCAGAACAATTCCTTTAACACTCCCTGCTTGTTGGATGTAAGTGGGGTTGTTACAGTTCATGCCAACCGGTGCCAAACCCAACTGAATAATCAGCAAGTGTAAAGCCAAACTTTCTCATGAGCAAGACGAGGAAAGGAAGGCAACCAGAGGTTACAAAAGGCCACATCTCCTCTGTGCAATCGGTGTGCAGAAGGATAAAATCAACCCTGCATCACCAGCTTGTCAAGAATTAGGTCATTTTTACAGTGTGTGTGGGAGTAACGTAGCTTTTGTTACAGCTAAGATTTAAACTGGAGTCATTTTCTTCTTTTGCATGAGCATAACCCTCCATTGTGGGATGGTTTACAGAAGACAGTTTTCCACTGAGTCCTGCTGTTATATACGATCTGGTAAATGCTACTCTCCTCTCCAGGATCTTCTCTATCTGTCTGGTATATCATACCAATGCTGGAAACTTTCAGGTGGAAGGAGGGGAAGCCAAGACAACAAAAACAAGCTTTCCAGGATCTGTATGGTAGATCCATGTTTGGTAACATGCGGGCCACCCAGAGTGGGCGGGTGGGGAGGTGCATGGGGGAGCACAAGCCCAGAATGGTGAGCCCTCTCCTGGCTGCAGACAGACAAGAAGGCCCTGGGAGCTTCTCTACTTCCATCTAGCTGTGAGAACTTGCACGCAGCCGCAGCCAGAGCAAACACTGGGGAAGACGACTGAATGGAAACGCCACCGCAACGATCCCAGCAGGATCGTTTCTACGGCTGCCATTGCCGGCAACTGCTTTCCACTGACTACACTGACAGTTATACTGCGTTATTCCTGAGACTGAGTGAGATCTGATATCCAGCGAGGAGAGTTTTTATTCAAAATGTGGAAGCTATCAGAGATCATTAGAAAATTGTTTGGACGGGACAGTGAGTGTGGTGTTTCTGTCTGGCTGATTGTTGGGGCCGCACCTTTTCTCAGTCGACGCTCTGAGGGTGTGTGCTGCTCTTTACAAAGGATGCACGGAGCACAAGTCTCAAAGTCAGTTCTTTTGCATTGACTAGAACCTCCTCAATCACCACACGTTCAAACACACTCTCCCCCGGCCGGTCGTAAATCCTCAGCGCTCGCTTACCAGAGGCACAGACAGACACAGATGGAGATACACACAGAAATAGATTGGAAACAGACACATGTGCACACACACACATGCTGACACACTGCTGAGCATGCAGCTGCGGTGATGTAAGTGATTAGGTGGTTCAGTGATATCATCCCCACCAGACATTTCAAATCCCCACCGTTGTTGTCTCTGCCGAGGTCCAACTTGGCTTCCCCACATTTTTGGCATCTAACCCCCCCCGCTCAACCCTCAACCCCTTCAAATAAAAAAGACTTCTATCAAACAGGAGCATGTGTGTGAATGTGGGTCAGTCGCTGCAGATTTGTGTCAGCGTGGCAGATCTCTGTGTGTATAAAAGGAGACAAAGACAAATTATCGGAGAGCACGAGGAGTCAAGTGTGGGTGTGTTAAATATTGCCTTATCTTCTCCGCTGCGGCCCCATATGTTTAACAAAGGGGACCTCTGTCGACTCCCATCCGGTCAAGGGGGCCTCACACTTTTGTTTAAATTAGTGCCTCACTACTCTGGTCCCATTTTAGAGCTACAGCTGGGATGAAGTCCTATAAATAAAAGAGGGGGGGAAATCTCCAGTGCAGCTACACGTTTCTTAACCTTTGACATTATTCTTGGTAAACAGAGAGCTTTGTGCTATTTGGTGCAGAGTGGTTTAAACTTTATAAATAACAGCATTCGCCCTACTTTTTATCGTTATCTTGTGATAATTCAGACTCAAAAGGCCATTTTAACTGAGCAATTACTCAAATTAGACATTTAAAGCACTGCAGAGGCCAATGCGAGTCTTCAGCCTACTTTTTAAATCATGAATATACCTCGTGTTTATCCTCCTCACATTTATCATCTTATCCATCTTGTCTTACTCCTCTTTTTCTATCTGCCTCACCCCTCCTCCTCCAACACCTCTCACTTTCCATCCTCCTTCCCTCTCCTCCTGCAGCACCTTTCCCACCCTCCTCTTCCCTCCCCCCTTCCTTCCTTCCTTCCTTCCTTCCTCTACATCCTCTCCTCCTACCTTTTTTTTGCCAGCAAGCAAACTCGCAGCTCTCTGTCGGCTCAGGTTAATGACAGGCCTCGGCAAACTGACCACACTCATTATCAGTCTCAGCCTTAAATACAGGCCCTGACATTCTTCTGTACTGAGGTGTAAACATCTACCTCTGCTGCTCCTCTGTCCTGCACACACACACTTAAAAAGCCTTGACTCTCCTGCAGGGCATGCAGCAAGGCTTTGTCTCTGGACCAAAAAAAAAAGCATGAGTTATACTAACCATACATTGTGAGACATAATATATATCCTCTGCTCATGTTATAGCTTAAGAAGGTGTCCAGTAACAGCTATGGCTTGCTGCTGGAGTGGTCAGATTGATGTATGGACCATCATGACTTCTCCAGATGTGCATAATGATAATAAGGAAAAGAGTGCGTGTGTGGAAGTTTTCCTCTAAAGTCATGCAAATGCAACCAAGATTCACATACAGACTCGATATAGCTTTAAGAAATGCTTTTAGAATTACTCCAAGGACAAGCAGTGGCCAGAATTTGGTCCAAAAAAAGGCCACAAGGAACAGGTGTGCAAGACGCGCACAGCTTAGTATAACAGCAGCGACCGTAAAACCGTCGGTCAGCGAAAAAAGAAGCGAGTTCAACCAGACTTCAGTCATCTCTCAAAATACTGCAGCTGCGGCTTTACTATGTCCCAAACAACCTCCTGCGTCTGCGTCAAGTTTATCCTTTAGCATCTGCATTAAAAAAAACAACAACAGTGATATGATGGAAGCAAAGAGATACATCTGTTCAAAAGCGGAGTCTTTCACAGCTACTTTACCTTGTGACTTGTATCTCTTCTCTCTCTCTCTCTTCTCTCTTTTCTCTCTCTCTCTCTCCCACCCCCCACCTCCCTTCAGTCGGCTTTCTCCGCTCACGGACACCTTCCCCGGTAATTCGTCGCAATTCGGCTCATAACTTCTTCTCCCTCAGTCCGTCGACCTTCTCTCCGCTTCTCATTCCTCATTCATTGGGGTGGTTGTTGTTCAGTGTCTCATGTCTCCTGTGTCGCTCCTGTGTCGCTCCTGCTGTCCTTGGGCTTTCTCTGGAGCGCAGACTTCAGTGGGACTCAACTCACTCTGAGCTCCATTCAACAGACTCATCCCATATTCCTTTAAAGGGCCCATTGCAGGATCGGATTTCTCCAGGAGTCAGCCCCCCCTTCATACACACACACACACA